GAAGTGTGGGCGAGCTTTCAACTCCTCTCTATCATCAGAATGGCTTTGGGGGGAGAGAGAGAGAGAGAGAGAGAGAAGTGTGGGTGAGCTTTCAACTCCTCTCTGTCATCAGAATGGCTTTGGGGTGCTTCCAGTCCAAGGACTCCTCACCCACCAATCAAAAGGCATTGTGCAGCTATTCTGTCTTTTCTTCCTTAATTCATTCTCTGTGGCAACAGAACAAAAAAGACGGAAGAAATGGCGGGAAGCATAGGAAGATTACAGATGGAAGACAGTGAATGAAGACACTGGGGATCATTCAAATGGACCCATGTATGGAAGCAACCTGTCTCAAGGTGTTGTGAAGTAATGTTTATTGTTAGAACATCTGCCTCTTAAGAACTTAGGGCCTTCCTTAGGGGATTAATGAGAACACTGTGGAGAAATTTCTGTAGAAGGAGTCTACGGTACAGAAGGATTAGTTGCTAGTAAGTTTTATTGGAGATCCTTTCAAGAGAAACTTTTGCCGATTCTTGCCTTTAACCCCCTGAAGCAGGCCTTAAAATATTTTCAGGCCAAAATACACTGGACATTTTAATACTGTGTTTCCTTTCACAGCAACTTGAGGGCTCTCTCTCTTCTAAGGATGGGTCTGAAGAGATCATGACCATGTCTTAATCCCCATCAAATTCTAAGCCCAAGGGTAGCAGCATACAGAATAAAAACCTGGTCTGTTAGCCTGTTTTGCTTTCCTTGGGTCTGTGCTAAATAGAACTGGAGAGTAGATGGATATCTTTCTTGAAACAAGAGTTCATCCATCAGGAAAGAGATAGGATTACATTTTTACAGAACGCATCATAAATATTTTCATTAGAACAGTTTTGAGTATCTGACGTTGAGGAAAATCGAGGACATATTTAGGCATGCACCCTTCCTTAACCTTTTCACAGATCAGATGCTTCACGCTGTTTACCAGCTTTAATCAAATTATCAAGGATGTGTAAAGGGAAATGGGAGGTGGGGAGGCCCTTGGCACATTGATTGACCACGAACCTTGGGCTTTCAAGGGCTGCTTCGCTGGCATCCATGTTCCATAAAGCACCAATGGCGTCAACACAGAAGACATTTGTTTGCATTAGGGATTAAACGTAAAGCACTTCGCAAGGCCGTGTGAGACAAAATGCTTCAGAGAGGCTTAGTATTCTAATGCTTGCTGGGCACAGCAAGTCAAAGAGGACACCAGAGCTTGCCATTTATTAGGCATCTCCTGACACCAAAAGCAGTTGTCTTTGGCTGTTTATTCAGATTTGCATCTTATCCAGCAGGGCAGCTATCAGAGATTTGTTTGCATATGTCGGTTTGTATTCCGTAAAGCATTTTCTATTTTTAAAATGATAGCACAAAAGTGGGTCTTTTGGTGGCGTAGGGAGGCAAAGGAGCAAATACGAAAAGGTACTTTCAAATTATTGAACTCATATCCCCTATATTGGGATAGTTTGGATACTTGTGTCATACATTTGATATAATTTGAGGATGCGGTGTTTGGCATAATGTACATTGCATGTTCTGCTTTGTTTTGTACTACACAATGTGTTGGTCCTGGTCTTTGATAATAATAAATTCAATTCAATTCATTCATTCTGTTGGGAAAGATGCATAACCTTTGGCTCAGATCCTATTAATTCCCAACTAGAGCTGACCGACTGAATCAACGGGACATACATAAGGGTACCAAGTTCCCAGTGATTCAGTTGTTCTAACTGAATCACACCACCAATCTTCTGAGCTAGTCAGCACCACCCCTAAGCAGAGGATCGAACTACATTCCTTCTGGTGGCTGAGGACACCTGTGCCAGACTTGGACTTTGATGAAACAGCAAACCTGAGGTATGTCCGGTGATAGATCCTAGCTTTGCTGATCAAAAATACCAAGGAATTTGTCATTCAGATTTCCTATCGGGGGAGGCTTCAAAATCATCCTGCTAAGTGAAACAGAAAATGCAAATGAATAGGCAACTCATAGATTTTCTGAAGAAAAACGAAACCCTGCTGTTTGGGATTCACCAATTGGAAATGAAAAAGAAATGAAAAGGAAATGGGGTTTTTTTTTCTGACTGGTAAAAGAAAATTCGGCACGAGGACCATGACATTACATGGATCAAGCCAGAGGCAATATCTTGAAAACTTTCTAGGTGAAGGAAGATGCTGAGAAAGCATGCAGGAAAACCTTCATCAGTCCCTTGCTTGCTACTGGTTAAAGGGAAGCCCGTTGGCGGGAGCAGAAAGGTGTCCATTCCAGACTCAGCTGCCAGAATATAGAAGGAGCACACAAAGTATGTTTAACCTTCTGATGCAGGAGGAAGGCACTAATTGGGTTTGTCTGTTCTTAGGTCTGGCCACCAGCTGACAACCCAACAGCTGACCTCTCTGAACCAATCCTGGCTTGAAAAAGAAGGCCTAGGTTGAGGTCACTTTTGGGTGGGCAAAGGTTCGGGCTGGTTCCTATTTAGACTGAACTGTTTCACCCAGCTCTAGTTACTCAATGTCATTACAATGTACTCAAATAACATAACATGCCACATGCCAAGAATATAAAACACACTTGGGACTGTGAGCTACCAAAGGCGGGTGGAAGGGTGGCAGGATGCATCAGTAGTTTTGCAAAATGTATGGAAACATTATTCTGCCTGAACCAAGCTCTGCGAATCAAACACCACTTTTGTTCCATGGAATGTTCTAACAAAGAGTCTAATTTTGTCACTCACTCGCAGCTCACCACCTGTTCCTTATTGCAAGGAGCAGCTCCTTATATAGTATTAAAATTCGGGATTTATTCCATAAGGCATTGCCCCTATTTAGCTGTTTCATTAGTTAAATATAGTGTCCAAACCTTTCAAATGTGTGATGCAGTTTCTTCCCTGTATGGAAACTGTTCCATTTACAACAAAGTTTATGCATATAGAAGAACGGGTACTCCAGCAGTGCAAAGCTAGGCATGGACTGTATATCTAGAATAACAATTATGTCAACAGGACTGCCCTCCAAATATTTTAAAAAGAAACAAGGAACCTTTGACCATCCAGATGATTTGAATGACAAGTCCCATAATCCTGAATGACGCGGCATGCTAATTGGAACTGATGGGAGCTCCAGACGAAGACATCTGGTGGCTCATCTCTAAATGGGGCTTATATGTGCCCACTCTTTTCCTTGGGGTGGGCAAGTGACTGGCAAGAAAAAGGGGTGGTCCTATACCACCCAAAACTGTCGCTATCTGTCAACTGCACTAAGGGCTGAAATCACATGATATTCCAGGAGTCACTGCAGATTCAATCTGGTTTTTTTTTCCTGGAGTGTGTAATTGTAATTGACCCTCAGAAGGGTCATCGTATGTCAGAATCACTTTAATGGCACCTAATAATTACTACTATACTTATTTTAGTTAAAGCAGAAAAGGTAAGCAACATTATATTTTTAGCATATAGTCACAGCCCAGATTCTACTGGAAAGCTGGCTGAGTGGTCATAGAAAGTGGCATAAATGCTGCATTGTATGGAGGAATGTCACTTTGGCTGCCAGAAAAGTTGTAGAGGGGAGTGTCTCTGGCTCCCCGAAAAACACACACACACACACACACACACACACACACACACACACACACACACACACACACACACACACGTGTGAAGAGCAGATGTATCATCAGCAATTTTCCATGGACCAAGATGGGAAACGGGGTGTAGGGGAGATATGGTGGGGTTGGTGTAGACATGGGCCACCTAGAGAGACCTTTTGTTTCTCAAATCCTTCCACACCAACAGCTCAACCCTGTTCCCTCCAGCACAGTGGTCCAAGTGAGGAAAGGAAATAAAAATGGTCTCCAAATTCCCGCCTACCTCAAAGCAAAATGGCAAGGCAACGGATGTGATAGCTGATCTGCCAGAGGCCCTCCTCTCAGCACCATGCTAAAACATGGGGAAGGATTCCTCCGTCACTTATGCACAGGCCAAAATCCTGTTGCAAAATCCATGCCCTCTACATTTTAGTGAAGCCAGGGACCCATCCAGGCTGATCTTTTACTTAGTGTGGAGGAGTACAGAGTGAGATGTGCTTAATCAAGGGTGGAGAATGTGCAGCTCACCAGCGTTCTTAGACTCCCAACTCTCACCATAGCTAGTGGTGAGGAAAGATAGAAAATGCACTTCAAAGATGTCTATCAGTTTTCCCCATTCCTGTGCTGGCTGAGCTCATCTAGCCTAAGTTTGCCAATGTGGTCCATTTGGCACTAGTCCCAAAGGTTTTAATCTCTCAATATGAGAAGAAACAAGAGAACCACAGCTCGTATCTATTCCCAATCCAGTCTTGCTGAATACTCCCTAATCCAGGGTGTTAACAAACAGCTGCATGCCTGATCACACTGGAAAAGGTGGCTTTCCTAGGAATGATCTCCCTTAAAGTGACCGTGGTAGTTTGCCTGGAAATGTTCTGTACCCCTTTGGGTGCATTTCTCTTAATAATGGCAGTTTTGTACACATAGAGAACCCCAAATAAATGCTTTTGGGAGCATTGTTTCAAACCTGAATGCATGTGCATTCAAATGGAACTGGAGGATTGCATCAAAATTAATTTACAATGTGCATTTCAAAGGGTTAACTGGGTTTCAGACAGTTTGCACATTTACAGTATTTGAAATTGGAAGATTAGTTACATTGAATTCAAACATGATCTGAATAAATTTATCTTCCATCCATAGGTACAGTATACAATAAGGTATGAGGGATGGGCCAAAGGTGAATCATGATCTCCTATTAGATTTCTGGGCAGTGGGCGGCAGATTGACAACAGAAGTGGTTCAAAATCTGAGCCAACAAAATGCCTTTTTTTTTCTTCCCAAGTCATATTTACAGATGTGAAAATCTCTCTCTTTTGGATTTGGCTGTATTTTTCCAAACACCACCCACGTTTTTCTTCCCACCATTGTTTGAAATCACGTTGAAAGACTTCAGGAGCTTCCACCACAAGGATCTTTATCCATATGTTTAGAAACACATTCTAAGTTGAATATTTAGTTATGACTTTTATCTATGGTATGATCCCCCCCAACACTGACTCAGGCATGTTCGTGGATTTTCCCCCTCAGTTGCCTGCATTTTAGCCATTCGTTATTTTACAAAGCACACAATGTCTTGTAAGTTGTTCATTTTTTCCGAAACTCCCCCCGTAAGCCTCAAATATTTTTGAATTCCCAAGGGGCGGCACATTTCTTCTCTCAGTAAGCCTTGGGAGGCTTCAGTTGTGGCTGTAAAATCCAATGAAGTTTTTCTCTGTCCCAGGATCAGCTACGGAAACCAAGAAAGTACAGGAGCAATGAAATAGATAACATATTTGCATGCAAGCTCAATTTCTGGTATTGAAAATGAATTAGTGGGCCAAACAAATCATAGAGGTGGCTTCTTCATTTGTCCGGTGTCCTTCTTCCTGAGACATTATTTTTATGAACTCAAGCTGGCTGACTTCAAGGTAAGCTTGAGCGCTACCTTACAGGTGAAAATAAAACAAAAAAAAAGTTTAAAAAGCCAAAACTTGGTGGCACCTTAAAGACTAACTTTCAGATTTTTTTAAATGTTAGTTTTCATGGACAAATCCACTTCATCAGATTTAAGCGCTGCCCGCCACTGTTCCCTACAGCTGCTGCTCTTCACCCTTTTCAGTCTGAAGATAGCACAGGTGTAAGTTTTGAGGATTAAAAGGGTATTCATTCAAATGCACTTGGCATATGGGAAGAGTGGAAATAATCTTTTTATCCATCTTGTGATGTGGGAAGAAGGTAACAAAGGTCACTGATCTAAATTCTGAGTGCACAAACCTTCAGGATTATCATCTGGCAGACATTAGAACGTCCCTGTTTCAAACCATAATTTCATCTCTGCTTTACGGAACCACTTGTTCAGCCATTATAAATTATGGTTTTTGGCAGAGGCCAGGGGAAGATATGCACCTTTGAGCGGCCCAGACTTTTACATGTGTGCGAGAAAACATGTTTCATGCCCGACATTTTTCTACATCGCTAACAGATGCAGCTCCGCTCCAAGCCAAACAACTGTATCTAACACATACGCAGAAAAAGAGAGAGGACCACTAAGGCAACATTAAACTAACTTCACATTGGTTTTAGATGACAAGAAGAATAAGTAACGAGCTATCAGAAAACAGAACTGCAGCTTCTATATTTATAACAGATAAATCTGTAACCATTGTCCTTTGCTGGCTTAGATCAAGGCAGCAATTTTCTGGTAACATCTGGGAAAAGGGGAGAAATGATGGTTGGTATGAAGAGCGGGGAAAATGACAACATGCTTGACAACATCTTACTGGCCAGAAATGTCTGGTCTCTTTTTTTTGGCACCTGAATGCAACTGGTTTGCTGGTTCTCAAGAGCAGCCATCTGAATCTAAGTCAGGGAGGCTGCAACTCCACCCTAACCCAGGGCCCCAAGATGTGTTTCATGTTTGGTTGGAAAGAAAAGGCTCCCACCATTCCTTGACTGACGTCAGTCTGCAACACTTTCTGGGCACCAAACCAGAGGAGCTGTTGGACCTGCTGGAATTCACTGCTCACTGCCTTTGGTTTCCTTCAAATAATGGTTTGAGCAGATCTTTGACAACTGCTTTTTTAGACAAATCCATGCGAGGACATGCTGCACTTACCTGTAAGCAGCGGTAAGATGATGCAGCAGCTGGAGCCACAGCATCCTCCTCATCCTGCTCGGTTGTGGATGGCTTCAGTACGCCATTGTATTCATTTTCCTTAATAGTCCCTTTCCAAGGTCTAGGGTGGAAGACACTCTGTCTTGTTCTGCTTCTGAAGCAAAAGAGCCCTCAGCCGGTTTAGTGCCTGAATGGGAGATCGTCTGAAAACACATTACAGGCCGCTCAGAGCAATTTGGAGGAAAAAAGGAACAAAAAACACAATGTAAAATGTAAAATAAGCAGAAGAAACAGAATGCATCCTTGGCACCCACAAGCTCATTCTCAACATAAGCCCAGAAACACAGCTTTCAGAGTAACTAAGGTAATAGGCACAAAAGCTGTGGAAAACATGGTTGATCCAAGATGTTTAGGTCCCTGAGGTAAAAGAGAAGATGGTTGCCCACCGATCACTTGAGCCTTCAAATCTGGTGATGGCACAGCATCCTCTCCCGCACAGCCGTGCCACAGGTCAGCTCAGGAGATCCAGGACAGGCCATACAGAGCATACATTTCTCTCCTTTAATAGGAGGGAATGGTTTATGTTGCCATTTATTTATTTAAAATATTTTCACCCCACCTTTCCCTTTAAAACATACCGAAGGCTGCTTATATCATTAAAAGAGATAGATAAAAACATTACGTTATAAATATGTAAAAAGAATTAAATATACCAGATGACGGTGAAACCTCTGATCTATAGGGGTAGTATGGATGTTTACATCTGATGGTTTTTGTTTATTATCATTAGGTTTTTTAGTGTTTTTACTTTTGTACGTTAGGTATGCATGAATAAAATGAAATTTGAAAAAAATTAAATATACATTGCATTTTAAAAATAGTTCAAAAAAGCATTATTAAAACAGATTAGAACAACAAAATACTAATCATCCCAATTTTAAACCCCCCACTTAGGCAGAAAGTCATTAAGGAAAAGCCTGTCTGAAGAAAAAAGTCTTTGGCTGCTTGTAAAAGAAAAACAAAGATGGGTCCAGCCTAGCTTCCAGTGGGAGGGAGTTCCAGAGTCTGGGAGAAGCAGCAGAGAAGGGCCTTTCTTGTGTCCCCACCAAGGGCACTTGTGAAGGTGGATGGACCGAGACAAAGGCCTCCCTTGATGATCTTAACACTCGGTCAGGCTCATAAAGGGAGATATGGTCTTTAAGATAGCTTGGGCCAAGCTGTTTAGGGTTTCGTAAGTTAAAACCAGCACTTCGATTTGTGCCCAGAAATGGATCAGCAGCCGTTGGAGCTGCTGCAACAGAGGAGTTATGGAATCCCTATAACCAGCCCCAGTTGCCTCTGTCCCATCACAACATTGGTCTTCCTAATGGGAGAGGCCAAATGAGGAACTTCCTGTGGGATTCTCTATTTCAAGTGTTACAATTCATACCTGTCTGGATAATTCTGGGAACTACAGCCATAAAGGCAATATGAATGAAATTTAGGCCAAATCAAGATTGCGTAAGTCCCCTGACCAACCTTCTAGCCTGTGGCACCCTTCAAATGTGCCATATGGCCCCAGCTGAGAATGGTTGCTTTATTGAAATGGTTGGACCATCCTTCAGAAGGAAAATCCAAATAGTTATAAGGGAATTGATAGCTTCATTGCAAATAACTGGAATGCATTTGCACGTCTTTTAATTCACAACTTGTTTATTTTAATGGAGCATGGTAGAGGTTGTTAAAGTTATATTACTCAAATAGCTGTACATCAGTCGGCATCAATAAAAATGTTGCAGACATTATCACTAGGATTCTTTCTTTGATCATAGGTTTCACATCAGCGCCTGCAACATACAGCTGAAAAAACAGATATGCTACAGGTTGAACATATTGTACTAAACTGAATGTTAAATTATTACAATATCAAATTGTTCTGTTGGTAATGTTAAATAAGAAAATATTGATCTCTCAAACTGATGGCAATCCACCATACATTGAGGTAGCTCAATGAGTTTTGGGGGCCGGTATGCAAAAATTCTGCTCTCATCATCAACACTTGTTTGGACAAAATGGAAACAAGACGGCAGCTGAAAGAAAGTAATGTCCTGGAAGGACTGGGTGGCTCTTGAGAACTGCAGGCTTCTCCCAACAACATGTATATCGAAGTGGGCAGAGAAACCTCTGGAGGCTTTCTATGAGGGTCTGATTGGACCTATATTTTGTATAATTTCTAAAGCAATGAATAAAATGCCCAGACCCTTCCATAACACCCCATACTATGTACCTTTTTGACCTCACATTGCTGTTCCGTATCAAAACTCTTGGATATTCAGACATATCAACTGCATGACTGTTCTGTAGTTCAGCTCTCAAGGATATGTGATCCCTTCCTTCAGGCATTGCCCTGGCAACCAATTTGTCTTTTGGCAGACGCTGCATGCTTCAACTAGGAACTAAATGTAAAACTTCAGGCATAACATCCACGTTGCGCCTGCCCTTTTTGTTTGTACTCCTTTAACAGTATCCGTGCTCTTGCACTTGACTCAAGTAAAATCCAAGCTTGATCTCTGCTTCCTCCTCATGATTAGTTCATAGGAGGAACACTTGAGACCCTCGTGCTAGGGTTATCCATTACCTAAATGAAAAAAAAACCCTTGCCAATTTTGGGAGCTCGGTTCGTTGACTTGCGTGCTATGTTTACCTAAGGATTTTCACACAACTGGCTTAGAATGGCCTTGTAATTTGCCTCTCCTGAGCAACTTTACAGAACTGGCCTTCATCAAGCCTGATTTCCTCACTACACAACAGGTGGTTCATTCAATGGGAATAAACAATAGAATAAGATGGAATGTTAAAAACAAAAACAGAATCATGGCACAATCAATCAAATGCAATCAATCCAAAATATGATTCCAAAATGAAAGGCAAGGGGCATGGAAAAGGAACAAGCAAACTGGAAAGGGTCCCTGTATGAATAATGTATAGCAGCACACAGCTGGAAGCGGTGAAAACATGCTGGCTCCATCTGATATGGATCTACTTCTGAGAATGACCCTGAAAGGAATTTTAGATATTCTTTTTTTATGGGTACATATAAAAAGTTGTGTGCATGCACATGAAAATGTAGCCAAACCAAACACATATGTAAATGCAGACCAATGTGATTGTGGTTGATGCACCATCCTGTATGAATAATGTATAGCAGCACACAGCTGGAAGCGGTGAAAACATGCTGGCTCCATCTGATATGGATCTACTTCTGAGAATGACCCTGAAAGGAATTTTAGATATTATTTTTTTATGGGTACATATAAAAAGTTGTGTGCATGCACATGAAAATGTAGCCAAACCAAACACATATGTAAATGCATGCATTAGCCAGACCAATGTGATTGTGGTTGATGCACCATATCTATATGTGGTGGCTGCCTCATGTATAATATGGTTCTAGGCAGGGTCAGCTCATGGTCCAGGATGGGACACCTCCTCTGCCCTGGTTACAAGTTGTCTGTGGTCCTTAAGTAGAAGACAACTGCCTCAATATGGGCACTGTTCAGTTACTTTCATTTCCTGCTCTGAAAGACGAAGGCAATGCTTCCATGAAATAGTAACTGAATCAGTGTCAATATTCTAGTACCTCGAGTCAAATTCTACTGAACTCAGTGGGTCTTATCTCTGATTTGCATTAGATTGTGCTGTGCATCTATTTAAAGAAAACAGAATCTTTACATATGCAATTAAAACTGATGGCCAACACCACTTCATTTCTGGCTGCATTTATTTACCACATTTTCCTCCACTTTTCTTCTAAAGCATCTCACAAAGGTTACCAGATCTCAGGTTTTGACCTGGATACTGAGAGTTCCAGGTTCATTCTCCATGGCTCAAGGTTTTGACCTCAGATTTCAGAAAAGGGGATGCTTTCAACCTGGTGATGCTTTATTTAGGGGGTCACTCTCAGGACTTCAGGATATGCCATCAGACATGGTCAGAAGTTCCCTTCTGTATTTCATTATCTCCCATGTTCTTGAGTTGTTGTTGCTGCTGAGGGTGGTGATAGAATCCACACACTGGGCTTTACATTTATTAGCATCCTCCATCCATCTCACACACTCCATTGTGCAAGTGCTGCTGAAGAGTTTGTGACATCACATAGGCCCACACGCTATGATATCACAAGGGCTTGCTCCTAGGTCTCAGGTTTTGGCTCTCCTAAAATTCAGGGAATGAGATGTTGCCAACCTGGCAGCCATAGTGCTTTGCTTCATAAAAATTAAGCACTGAGACCCTGTCATCAGGTTTGCCAAGTAAAAAGATGAGAGAGAGGAGGGGAATGGGAATGGAAATGGAACAAAAAAAGCACCAGGAGGAGGAACGTTTTTCAGGGCCAGGAAATGGGTATTGATTTTTTTGTTGAATCCAAGCTGACCTTCACTTGCCGCTTGGCGCTTGATAGATGTTGTTTCTCTGGCTAACTTGTGGGGTCAGAATATTCTTCCACCTTTTCTTCCTGCTCTCTCAGTTGCAGCTGAATGTTCTTTCTGGCAGAGAATAAAGGTATCTTGCTACTTCCGTCTGGATGGAAAACATGTTCCTGCAAGGTCAAGAGAGGATGAAATCCAGAAGAGCACAGGTGTTGGGAAAAGAATAAAGCTTGAGCAATCTTGGGATCATGCCATGTGATGTCAATTTTTTTTTTTTTTTTACAGAAGGCCATTTTTAGGTGGGTTTTAAGGAAGATAATCCTGAGAGGCATAGGGGAAGTATTCATGTCTTCTCTGGAATACTGTGTCCATTTTGATTCAAGGAGAAAATCAGACCAAAAGAGATGTAGTGAAAGATAAATTATGTGAACTGAGGAACTGGAAAGCTATCTCATAAGCAGCAATTAAAATATATGACCTAGCTTAGCTTAGAAGAAAGAAAGCTTGGAACCTTCAAGGAGAAGATGTGGCCGCCCATGGGCAGCTTGTAACCCATCACCTGCATACACCTCCCATGGGCAGCTTGTAACCCATCACCTGCATGGGCACTCTATACATTTATTTTCTACAAGAGCTGAATCAAAGAACAGCACTGTCATCAACGCCCACCACACCCACCTCTAAACCCAACACAGATGGTTCGGTATATCTACCAGCCAAAGCACCACATGAGAAAGGCAGAAACCTTTGGCTTAGTGTGAGGACTGTTCTCAGCAAACCTATCTCTGGAAGCAAAA